TTTGCAGCAATCTACCTTGCACTTTGAGGCAAATCTGACTTCTTTTCGAGCCGCCAGGAAAGATGTTAAAGGCGCAGACTAAACAACTCTCATCCTCCCATGTGAGATTCGTCAGTTTGATCGCCGAAGGGCTGAAAGACTCTTTCGTAACGAGCACTTTTCCACGGTAGGGCGTGTTTACGTCTATTCCAAAGCGCTCGCTGTATGTTGCCATGTTCTCCACTGTCCCCTTGACGAACCTTTGCCAAGTAACCTGCTGCACACCTGCCGGTAAAAGCCAAAAGGTAATCCAGTAAGCACCCTGCATAGAGTGTGTTAATATTTAACTAATGTTCTGGATAACATCAGCAGCTCAGAGATTAGGATCTGGGCGAGGACAACAACTGAATAATAGAATTCATAATAATAATAATTTAAACAAACAAACAAGCGCACCTGTGGAGTTTGGCAGCGCGCACCTATAGTGCGCATCACTGCCGTACTCAGCTGTTGTGTCTCCGTGTAGACTGAGTGAAGCCGAGGCTGAAAATAATGGAAGCTGAATGTAAGTAAGTGCAGACTCGATAGGAAAAAAAAGCTTTCATGCTACTCAGTAATGCAGTTCATCTCCTATATAAACTGTAAATTTCACCAAATTACAACTCGCACTGTTTTTTTTGTTTTTGCATTTTTACTTTAAAATCCAGGTAGAACTGTTTAAATGGTATAATACATAATAATACATTTCCCTCTGCATATTAAAAGTAAAATTAACGTGATCTGGATCATAAAACCATAAAAAGGCAGGGTTGTAAAACTGTATATCAAATTATTATGATAATTATAATATATATATATATATATTTACAATATAATAATAGCAAATAATAATATAAAGGAGCTGCGTTTAGAGAGACTTACCTTTGAATAAACAAAAAACAATCAGGAGGAGGAACATCATCTTTGCTTCACTGCTGTGTAGTCAACACTTTCGTTTTGTCCCTGTACTGGCTATTTATGCTGCTCAAAATGAAACTTTAACAGGGGATTCCCTGACTGAGTGCAGACCCATATGAAACCCTTTGAGGTAAGACAAA